AAAAAAAAAGGGGAAAAAAAAAAAAAAAAAAAAAAAAAAAAAAAAAAACACATCATAGTAAAACCAATACCTTCTCAGCTTCGCATCGAAGCTAATAATTATTTTTCAACTTTGGTCATTGATATTTTAGGCATAGATATTTTAATATGAATATTACGTTAATTTATTTGGTCTATAGTATATATTTCAATAAGCAAACATTGGCTTTATTAGTCCTATCTTATTATTATACAAAATAAAATTTGAAAAATACGCATTAGATTTGAATTTTGATACCCTAATATTATATATATTTTAAAAATTACCACGTATCCCCCAAATTTAAAAATTAATATTAGTTTAAAATTTTTGCGACCTTATGCATATTAATAATAACATATTTCACAATATTATCGAATGAAATTTAGATGATATAAATTTTGTTTAACTTTTATCAATTTTGAACCTTTGGTGGTAATCATAAGGTCAAATCACTCGTCGAATGTGTTAAAAGGCGCCATTATTAAAATAAATTTTGTTTCTGAAATGATTTATGATCGTGTTATGAACTAGTTTATGTTATAGTGCAATGATTTTTTAATGTTAAATTGATATTAATCTTTGACACCATATAATCAAACATCGTTGAGTAATCATTCTACTTATAATCATGACAAAATATAGAAAAATATTTTCTAGTGATAAAATCAAAACTTTTTCTAAATTATACAGAAACTTATCAGATTTTTACCTAATATCACTGCATCTATGGATAAAATATGAAAAAAAACAAAACAATAACATATTCTATAAGATGTGTAATAAAAAAAACAAATAAACCATTATTCTACTTTTAACATAAATTATATTGGGTAAATAGAAATTTATAAATAAAATACAGATATAGGTCAAATAATTAAATTTGCTTTTATTAAATCGAGTCAGCTTAAAAAAAAAGTTTTATTAAGGATAAAGTTTAGAGCCGACTAGAGTTTGGTAATGTGGTAGCAAAGAATATTGCGTACAGATTGTGGTGGTAGTTAATATGAACATTACTGTTGATATATTAAACTGACTTTTAGCTGTGCCTGCTATAGCCGTTGACCATTGTTGTATCTTTAATTAATTTAATGAATAAATAAAATTTTTGAATTCTGACTTAATTATAAACTTATTCCCCTATAACACTACCAAGGGGTATGTTCACGACTATTAGCCGTAACCCAAATAGTAATTAAAATAGTAAACTCTAAGGGTACTCAACTATTATCAGCATAAATAACTCATTAATTAACTCCCAATGGCGTGACGTATGCTATGTTTTTAAAGACAAACTCCTCATATCTTTATTTATAATATAAAAGAAAATATTTTAATAAAGCAAACGTAATAATTAAAATATGTAATTAAAACAAGATGAAATGTTTGAAACAAACATACACTTAAAGTACAATAAAATAATACACGATAGTAAAGACTTTATTATCAAAAACGTAAAATAGATACATGAGATTACCCAAGGGCTCCCGAGGTACTCTACCCGACAATTCATTCCATTTCGTCTTATATACTAAAACATTTTGTATTTTAAATCTAATATAAAATGAATAAGACAACCATTTTCAAAAATGTTTATGAATATTTAATTCTTGGTCTAATAATAATAGATCATGAATTTGCAATTAAACTAAATATTACAATATTAAATAAAATGTTTTACTACCAGTTTTAAAGACTATTTACACCATTTTAACCGAAAACGGACAGTATAATGAAACTGATATGTTAGGATAAGATAGGAGATTATATGAATTTACAAATTTTGTTTGAGCCATTTTGAAATTACTTAAATTCATTCTTCTTTGTCATAGGATTATAAAGTAACGTAAAAATACTTTTCCTTTTGGTCAATCGAAAGTAGTTGGAATTAAGGCCAGGAAAAGGAAGAAGTAGAAATACTTTTCGTTTCAGTAGAGAAAATCCAACCAAACTCAAAACTATAACCTTGATAACGAAATATAACTAAAATTTAATTCAATCTACAAAAATTTGTACTGGCTGCTAATGTATTCAGAATAATATAACAAAATACATAAGAACAAATAATTCCTATTCCTACTGATAGCGTTATACACAAACAAATCATCCTACATATGTTAAACATAAATTGTACAAGTGTATTACGCGTTCAATTTTAAAACGAAAGCAGCAAATTGAGAGTTTGGTTAAGTTTAAAAACTTTCTTTGAAAAAATTGGTTTGAAAATCAAACTAGTATAATCACGTTGAATTTTTTGAACAATAATATAAAAAATGTTTTGCTGAAAATGAAAATCCAACCCAACCGAACATCAATTTGACAACATACAAATTTAACTAGCTTATAAAATAGAAAATGATTTAATTTAGAAAATAACTGGTTGATTAAAACATATAAACCAGTACTTTAGAATTTATTCTCATTTTCATATGTATACAGGAAGAAGAGTATGGTCGGAAAATGATTAGTGGTAAAAATAGCAGCACCCACTCATCACCTTCAGTTATTATTTTAAATTGTTAATGAAGTCTGAAATACTGGTCAAAAATATTAACAGTTATTTTCTTAGTCAAATAATTTTCTATTGTGTCAGTTAATTAAATATGTCCCTTTAAGTTATAAGTGATAATGCTAAATTCATTATTAGCTGATAATTCAATAAATATATATAACTATAAGAAATCAAAATTTTTTTTTCTAATATTTTACTTTTGCGAATAATTGAGTGGTTTATGTTAAACCGATCATTTTGTATATATTGCTATTTTCAGTAATAATAGCATTGCTATTATTTATTAATCTGCTACAAATGTAAGATTAAAAGCTGGATAAATCACCAAATTATCAATAGAAATGATATATAGCTGCTATTTTTTAATAGCAATAGAATTAGTAGTTGCAATTGAAAACTGTAATACATTACTATCAATATTACATGTATTTATTTGCACTTTATTTTAATTTAAAATAATAATGAATAGTAAAAAATATTATTAAAGTTGAGTGATGTTTTTTTTACAGCCAAAATGGAAAATATTTGTGTTCGCAAGGTGGAGAACCAGATAACACTATTTCAATATGGGACTGGGAAAAATCAAGAATAATATTGAGAACTAAATCGCACAGTCAAGACGTATACGTATGTCACTTTTCAAATTACATATCGGATCATTTAACAACAGCGGGTTCGGGCCACATAAAATTCTGGAAAATGGTTCAGACGTTTACGGGTCTAAAACTTCAAGGTCGTCTTGGTCGATTCGGAAAAACGGAAATATCAAATGTAATAGGAACCTATTCAATGCCTGATGAAAAAGTAAGTTTTTAATGTTTAAAAAGAAAGGCTTACTACGTTTATTTTAAAGGTCATTTCTGGTTGTGAATGGGGAAATATATTAGTATGGGATGAAGAACTAATAAAAATCCAAGTAATGAGAAAAGGTAGAAAACCTTGTCATTCGGAGCCAATCATTATGTTCTTATATTCTGAAGCTAACATGGAGTTAACGAGTGTTAGCAAAGATGGCACCGTTAAATCTTGGTATTACTACACAGTCAATATGGCCGATCCGCCGGAAAAAGATAGAGTGATTGAAATAGAGCCATCTTTTACTCTAACTATCGAAGACGATATTGGACGTGCTAAAATCATGGGATTATGCAAAGTTAATGATGATATCAACTCCTTTGATTATTTTCTACAAGTATAATACAGTTCTATATTGATTTGTTAAATGTTATAATGTTATGAAATACAGGACGGTAATGGAGGGATATGGCTTGCAGATATTGAAGTATCAGCAAATGCAAAACCTTTAAGAAGATTAGCTAAATTTCATGGAGATATAATAACAAGTTTACAGCCATCACCAACTGATTACTATATTGCTACTACGTCTTTAGATGGGTGGTTCCATTTGTATGACATCGTAAATAAAAATTTAATATTCACCCATAATTTTCAAACACCTATTACTTCTTTGATTTGGTTACCATTAAAAGTATATGATTTTAGTACCTATTGCTACAGATTGTTTCACAATATATTTTTTATTTTCTAGGTGGCAACAGGCGAAAGTATATTTGTTGCTGGATTTAAAAACGGCTTGTTAAAAATATTCTTAGTACCTCTCAAAGAGATTGTCAATGGTGAATTAATAAATCTTACTCTACTTCAAGTAAATATTATATCTTAAAAACATGATAACATCAGTAATACGAGATTAATTAAAGTTTTAGATTAGAACCAGATTTTTGATCGTTCTAATTTTACATGTTTAATTTTTTTTTTTTTAATAAATCATTAAATTAGTTATATTTTTAAAGGTTACGAAACCGCATACGAATAGTGTTAATCACTTAAAAACAAATAATAATAATAAAATAATTGTAAGTGGAAGTGAAGATTGTTCAGTATTTGTTTATAAGTTAATAAGAAACCCATTTAAATTAGAGCCTGTTGGTTTTTACCCCTTTCCTGGATCTATCACTTTTATATGCTGGAAACCTTCTCAGGTAAACTAAATACAACAATATTATTTTTTCTTACTGTTTTTGTTATTAAAATGTGATTCTTTTAGAAAAGTACAGCTCTAATTAGTTGTGCTAGTGGTCATATTGCTGAAATAAGTTTTCCTACTAGTCGTCCATTATACACCAAGGAGTCATTTTTATTGAGACTCGAACCTAAAATAATAGAAACAAAAAGTATTAAATCGGAAATAATTCGAAATCAATTTATAAAGAAATTAAATGAGAAAAAGAAAGAAAAAAAAAATCGTAAAAGGGAAAAGTTGAAAATACTCAAGGAAAATAACCCTGGGGTAGAAATAGACGAAGAATTATACTTTCAAGATTCCGAAGAAGATGAAGAACCACCAAAAATATATGTCCCTCCAGTACCGAATCCCATAATTTTTGCTGTGTATAGTCCTAATGAGAATACTGTATGGGTATCTATAGATGGTTACGATTCTGGTTATTTGTACGAATATGATATTAATAGTTCAAAACTAATAAATTTTTCCTTAATACCCGACAAAATCGACCAACCACTTTCATCTGCTCTGATTTAGTGAGTCAATACCAACTATTTATCCATATTTAATATCCCTTAATTACAAAAAATTATTAAATATTTTTATAAAATTATTACCATTATTTATAATATATAAGATAAAAACAATGTATAACATAATTGAAAATATTTTTATCCTTTTAGCCAATCAAAATTAATAGTTATACTTTTGATGGGATTTACAAATGGTAGAATTCGTTTAACAAATATCCAGACTAAACATTTTTTGAACTTGGAAGATTATATTGAACACTCAATGCACGATAATATAACTGGAAAAATTAAAGGCTTGTATTTTAGCCACGATTACCGTTTATTGTACTCATTTGGAGATGATGGAAACATTTTTTGTTATCATTTTCATTGCAACCACACCGATGAAAGCAAATGCTCATTGCAAGTTGTTGAACTACCTTCTAAGCCTGAACTACAGGTGATAATAATAAATAATTGGATGATTTCTATAAATATTTGTAAACTAAACTTTGCGAATAATACAGTAGTTTATAATAACCCGATTACTCTGTATATTAAAATATTCATAACTCAATAATTTTCTATTCTAAATTTGTGATATATCCATTAGTATTTTATTTGCAAGAAAAGGACTAACAAAATATTATTTAGTATTCAAAATTTTTTTTATATTGTATCTATGTTCCAATGACATATTTAAAGTGCTCCACCATTGATTATACTATGCTTATATCATATATATTTTTGCCCCTCATGATTTTATAATTATGCCCCTTTTCTATAAATTACCATAGGTTAACTTTTAGGGATCATCTTAACGACATTCTCTAGCTCACCCCTTAATCAAGTTTCATTTAAGATAATTAATTTCAGCACTTTATATAATATTTAATCTTAAGTTCTTAGCTTCGATGCAAATCTAAGAAGGTATTAATTTTACTATGATGTGTTTTTTTTTTTGTTTGTTACCACTTTTTCTGATCTCTCACCGAACCGATTTCTTTCAACGATACGTCAAAAGATCTCAAATCGTATCTAATCGAAGACATTACCCTCAAAAATTGAAAAAATTTCCCTCGTTCCTGTAATAGGGGAAATCTCCAAAAAAATTACAAATTTGAAAATTGCTAATTTTTGAAATGTTTTTAATTTTTTTTATAAATACATGAGATATTTACCTAACATTTTTTATATATTTTTATTTTTAATCGGACCATTTCTCTTTATATAGGAGTGGTTCAAAACTTAAAAAAGCGTATAGAAAGTAGAAAATTTTCAAATTAATTTTAATTAGAATATATTTATCGATTATTCATACGTAACCTAATAATCAAACATAAATACTTTCTATGTTAATTAGTAGGTTATTTTTATTATAAAAGCCATATTTGAAACTCTAATTGCAGATTTGAATCAGTGCAAAATAAGTTTAGAAAAGTATATTTTGGTCTCAAATGAAAATTCTTTGCAGACCAGTAAATTTATTTTATAAATTACAACAATTTTTTTTTTTATTTATTGCTTCAAGACCTTCAACCTTTATATACGTTTTCCATAAAAGTAATAATTACATTTATAATTTTTTATAAATTCTGTTTAAAAATTACAATACTAAATTATTAAATATCAATTTCATACTTTATTTAATTGCTATTATAAATATTTATTCATATGTTACATTTATAAATCATAAAATTTGAAATCAGGATATAGATTGGGAAAGAGTAGGTCATGTTACTTTTAGAATAATTCATCAATATTATTAAAATTAAACACTATCTACAAATTTGCATCGAAGCGTTTTTTATGATAGTGATTTTAATCTCTGTCAGATTAAATCTATATTAGACCCAACTACATCATGTCCCTATAGTACCAGAACCCCCCTGTGCTGGGTTTTTAATTATTAGTTTAAAATTAAATTAAATTTTCATTATTATAAGATTATTTTAGGAAAAAGATATAATAAATACTAAAGAGGATATCAAAGATAGTCTAGAAGAGAGAAAGATTAATAAAGAAAAATGGAAAGCACTAAATATGGCTAATAAAGAAAAACATAAATTAAGGGAATCATTACTTGAACTTAAATTAAAATTTAAAAATATACAAAAAAAAAATATGGCTTTGCCTGAATCATTGCAGCTACCACATTCATATTTCGAATTAGACGAAAGAATAACTCTTTCAATTTACGATGAAGCTAAACTTCAAATGGATATTTTACGTTCAAAACTAGCTTTTGATCTCGAAAAAAAAGAATTAGGATTAAAAAAAGTAAAAGACTACTTTGTAAAAAGTGTTCTTACACCTTCATTTGAAATACAAGGAATATCGTACGTGACATTTTGGTTATTATATGTAAATCAAATTTGAAAATCAAAAGTTGATACACTAATGAACATTAAGTATATTTATTTATTTCAGTAGTAAAATAAACGTTAAAACAATTAAGCATAAAACGCATAAAGAAATTTATGGGAAATTACTTGAGACTCTGTTATCTAAAAAACATCCTAAAAGAAAGTAAGAAATTTATTGAAATTTTTTAATAGTCATTATATATGTTGGGTTGGGTTAGTAGACAATTTTTACATTAATATTAATTAATCATATTACATGCTGCTAATAGTTCAGAAAATTTATCGTTTGAAAGGTTTGATTATATATACTAAAAAAGAACTATCCATTTTTTTATCTATTATTTTATATTATAGGCGACGAAAGTCTACTATTATAGAAAAATTTACTGACGATACTGTTCATAAATTAGCAGAATGGGAAGTTTTTCTCCGAAACGTTAGAGAAATTTACGATTCTCTACCAAAATATATTAGAAAAGCTATTGATAAATATGCTAAGAGAAAAAATTTTGAAAAAACAGAAAAAATTAAAATGCACGACCTAGAAATGAAAAAACCTGACATAACAAAATTCGATACTGAGGAAGAAATTCTAATAGATGTTGCTAGAAGTACGATTGGTAATTTAAATTTGAAGTCCTCTTCTACCTACAAAGTACCCCAAGATGATATAATATTAATGGAAGACAAATATGATGAATACTTAGACGTCCAAGAAGAGGTTTGTTTATTTTATAAATCACTTATGTTCTAAATTTTACAATTACAAGTGTAACGTGACAAAATGTGAATTTTATGATATATATAGATTTACTGTTGCTTTGCTAATGGGCGCGCGTACGTTATATCCGGCCGTGTAATCAGAAAACTGTACTGTTGCTGTCAAGGTGAACTCTATACACACAATATTCTTTATCAGTTTAATAATCGTTCCCTTTATGACACATATACTGGCCACCACTGTCAATACCTGTATAATTTTAATATTGTTCATATTTTTATCTGTTTTATATTTTGTAAATTGTTAAGCCGATACCCTCTCCCAAACGTAATCGTCGTCGTCGTTGTGTCTCGCCCGGTGTGTAGGAATTTGTCGGGCTCTCTTCCCTTTGAACCACCGTTGTGGTATTTTGGCTGTGTGCGTACAGCCAACATTAATTTGTTTTTTTCGTGTGTGTCGTTTAATAATGTATTAATTCAGCAAGGCATCGGCCATTTCCGGGGCCGAGATTCCCATCTTAGGATGAGTCCCATCCGGGACTGGGTATCGTATTTTATTTTATTTAATATATTGTTTTGAGCCCTTTTTCTGTTGTAAATTTATTTTGTTATGAGCTGTATATAATTTTAGCATTGTTGTATATAAGGTTATTGGTCAGTGGTGTGTCATGTATATTTAATATATATATATATATATATTATTCCCGCAATGCCCAAGTACGGTCCGGCCGGCCAGATTACAGAAATTATCCGCCGCGTCCGAAGTACACGGACATGTTCCAATGCGGAAGACACTTCATGTGTAATATTTAAAAGTTGTAGGTTAAAATTTTTTTTTGTCTTAATAATTGTTTTTTTTTCTCTTTTGTCCCTTTATTTGCAGAGTGGTTTTTGCCTTCGGGTTTTGTCCACTATTAACTTAACTAATAATTTAATAAAGTCCTCTTAATTTTCTTAATCAACAAAAATTTTTTTATTGCGTGAATATCTTCAATATTCACGTGTATCTTATTTTTTTTCCCTTTAAATAATTCTCTCTAGTTTTAAGGTAACGGTCTTCGACATACTAAATTATGTCCACCACTGGTGACATCAAATAAACCTATTTGTTATATTTACAAGGTATCAGCGTATTATAGTCTACAACAACACTTTATATTTTAGTATGTGTATATATAATTTTTTTATATCCACTTTGTTTCATCAAAGTGCATATTATTGGTTTTATTTTTATTTTCTTAAATCCACTTATGGTCCGGGTGCTGTTCTTTTTATGATCAAGACCCTCGCCTAAGTGGTTGGCGACCCGATTTCCTTTTGCAAGGGAGCCATAAGGGTGGCGACTTCACAATCCGTTGCGTGACCCAAGTCGTCACCTCTCACAAGTTAAAAAAATTATTAGTTAATTTTTTGATACACTACTCTACTTGACTGCTTGTAAATATGTTACAATTCTTGTAATATCATTCAAGTAAATTTTTCTTAAACGTTTTTTTTTTAATAGATATTTAAATTAAAATCAGAATTCAACAAAAAAATATTCGAATTAAAAAAACAAAAAATTGATTTAATACAAGATTATAAAAAATTTCTTATTGATATTCAAACAATACAAAATGAATTAAATGATCCAAACTTGGTATTACCCAATGATTTTCCTACAATTACAAATGATGACGATTTTCAAGTAAGATTTTTAGTACATATTTTTTAATGAAAAACTCTGTATACAAATTATCCTATCATGATCTGATATCATTAATAACTTTTGAATCAGCAATTATTATTTTTTTTTTAATTTATTTTTTATTTTTAGTATATTTTTATTATTTTCCAATAATAAGAAAAGGAATAAAAACATACTTTTAACGCGTGGGTATTTTAAAACTTTGAAAAAAAAAAACCAAACATTTTTTATTTTTCATTTTTTTTTTTTATTATTTATGAATAACAAAAAAATATGTTTTAAACGTAGTTTATAAAGGCAATAATTATTATTAAAGAAAATTTCAATAAAATGAAAATTGTATCAATATTAATAAGCTTTATCAGTTAGATATCTGTGATATCTTGTATATTTTGCTTTATTAATACATATACAATCTATTCCAAAAAATATTAGAATTAAATTTTAAACTAAAATTATAAAAAATATTTATCTCAAATATTTTTCCATGAAAATAGCTAAGAATGGCAAATTTAAAATTTTTGAATAGGTAAAAAAATTTTTTTTTTACTTCCTTTCTTATTAAAGACAAATAATAAAAAATATCACATTAAGGCTGTCTAAGATTTTAATAACTATTTAAAAAAATATATGTTTGCTGATACAAGATGTATATGAAAGATGTCCAAACATGATTAGACATTCTGTATTTTTCAGTAATACTGTTTTTGCAATATTTAATGATAATTTATTTTAAAAATAAAATAGCATAAAAAGTTTGGCAATAGTATTTTAATATTATTAACATTATCTCTTATCCAAATTTATATATAGGCACACAATATAATTTCTGAGTTTACATCAATAACAACAATAATCATAAATTTATTATTGTTTTAGTTAAAAACATCAGAGGAAACTTGTATTACACATCATTGTGTAGATCATGAATACTTATTGATCTATCCAGAAAAATCGCCTATATATTTAAAGCAAACTAAATATGCTTTAATAGAAAAATGTCAAATAAAATCATCATTTTTAGAAAATCAAATAAAAATAATGAGGGAAAAAAAACTAAGATACAAACACAAATGTTTACACGAATTAATTTTTACAAAAATTGAAATGTTTGATAACCATTTAGCTGAGTTGGAAACTGAGAGAATAGCCGTTGTATTGCGCATAAAGTTTCTGGAGCTATTTGCATTGACTTTAGAAGAAGAATTATTAATATTAAATGATTATGACTTACTTGAAGATGAATATTCTTATGATGTTTACATTATTACAGAAAAACAAAATGAATTGTCAGCTCAGGTTAAAAAAATATGTTTTGAATTATTGAAGCTTTGCGTAACATTTAGAAAATTCCAACATTTTCAGAAAATAGTTTTTTATTATTTTGAATAAAAATGATTTTGTTGTGAAATTCAGTACAAAGTCTAGTTACAATAGAAAAGTTAAAATTACAGAGTGCGACACGGGAGTTTAACGTATATTAAACCGCTTCAATAACACAAAAATAGATTATAGAGAGGAAGAGGGCGAGCAATTGGTAGTGTGGTTCACAATATTTATTTTTCCATTAGTTTATCGCGACGAGTGAGTTTGAAATGGGACTCCATGCATTTGCGTTTGAGATGCGTTTTTAAAGTCGAGAATGTGAATACGATGAGGGCATTTTGTAAACATTTTTTGATATACCTCGTAAACCAATGCCAATTAAAGCAACAGTTTATTTATCGGTGAAATATCTTCACAAGGATGGTATTATGAATAATATAAAACATTCGAATTAGCACAAAACGATTAGAATGTGATAAAACATTTAGCATGTAAGCGTCATCTCAACCTCAAATATACTCATTTGATTCAATCAAAGATGATTTATTACTTGAAAAAGACTTTTCACATACAAAATTACCAATTACAAGTACTCTTCTTTCCTATATTCATAGGTTTTATAGCTATAACAGCATTTTAAATATGATAGATTCCCGTATTACACTCTGTACTATTATTTGTAGACATATTTATCTAAAACAAATATTTAATATTTACTTTAAATTAAATTTTTTATAAAAATAATTTTTCTAAAACGGACTTAGTAGTTATTACACATAGTCCTTCAATTATTTTGAGAAAATTTTTATTCTTTCATCAAAATATTGATTTTTTGAAAAATATAATAATAATTAATCATTTTATCATAGAATTTTAATATTATTATTTTATTTATTATTATTATTAATAGATTATTAATATTGAAGAAGATATTAGGCGTAACTACAAAATCATTGAAAACAAAAATAAAGAAGCAATTGATGTAAATAACTTATTTGAGATAGAAATTCGAAATAATAGCTTTGCTAAACACTTGAGAAAAATTTTTAAAAAAAAATTTAAGCCAACCAGAGTTAAGTTAGATGACGATGATGGTGAGTATTCAGTCAATTTAATTATCATATTCAAACAAACTAACAAATGCAATTTTTAATAAAATTAAAACAGATACTGATTCATCATCATCAGATGAAAGTGATGACTCAGATTCAGATTCAAACGATGATGGTAGTATAGATTCTGCTACATTGTTTGGCCAAATGATGTTTGATGAGAATGTATTACCAGAAGGTTGCGATCCAAAAATGTTTACACTGACTTTTGAATTGCGGTCAAAACGTTATGAAATAGAACAGTGTATTGAAAATGTTTATAATAGTATAGATCTTTTAAAGAAGAAATTAAGGGTAAAGTACGCAGAATTAGATGTTGTAAACCAAGAATTGCAAATTAAAATTGAAAAATTGGATGCATTTCGAGTAAACTTTTGTTATTTTAAAGTTTATGTGTATATTTATTTTAGTAGTGATATACAATAACATGATTTATAAATAAAAGGTGTATTAGATTTGATTGAACTTTTGATCCAATAATAATTACGCTGTATTTTTTAAAGCATATTTTATTATTTATTATAATAATAAAAAAAAATTTAAAAAATAGTGTTTGACACGAGTTACGTCGCAAAAATGTGGTCGACACTGGTAGAGACCCGTGGGCCGCTTATTAAATGAGCGACAACAGATTATTTTAACAAAAATATAAAACAAACCGAAAAAATAAACACAATAATAATAATCTTCGCATAATATCGCGGCACTTTCGCTGGCGTCGACGACGTGATGTCCGGCGTAATCCTTAGGCGATAAAAGGTTAGCAGCGTTGATGGCGACGGTGCGCGGGTGCGAATCGGTTCGTCGACATTGTCACTTTCACAACGGGAAGAAGACTGCTGTCTCATTTGCGGCGGGTCGTCGTCGGCCGTTCGGCACTTGTTGGACTTTACCCAGTGGCGTATGGCACGTAATGTTGGTCAGTAGAGCGACGACTGATAAAGGTGGCACGAGTCGCAGGGCATCGTGTATAACGAAGCTACGCGGGGCCGTAACATATTTAATTATTTTATTGTTTCAAAATTTTAGAACACCTATTTTTAAAGCTCACTAGGAAATAAATTTAATGTGTAATGTGGGTATATGCAGATAGGTGTAGCTAGTACTGGTGTATATTTATAAATTATACCTTACCTAAACTATGTATAATAGTTCTAATAAATGTAATAATTACTTATCTCGAAGTTTTTATCGGCCCATCAAGTTTTCCCTAATAAGTTCTAAAAAATGACTATTTTTAAATAAAAAAAAAATAATAATAAAACAAAATTATAATTATATCAAAAGTTATAAGAGTTAATAATTAGATCTGTATATATATATTTATAGATTGAAAAGAAGCTGAAATTAAACGACGTAGAAACAACTATAATTTTAAATAAAAACCAAATGAACGAGGCAAAAGTTTTGTCCAAATCTGTACTTTTATATGGAAATATCATGCAAAATATTACAACAAGAGTATCAACTTTAGAAAAAGAAAGAAAAGATGTAAAAGAATCCTATAAAAAATTAATATTGCATTCGAAGCGATTACGTATTGACTTACATCACATGGAAGAAAATTATAAAAAATATCAAATAGCCATTAAAGATGTGATGATGAAAAAATTCAAAATGTTAATAAATTTAGATAATATGGAAATGACTGTCATAAAATACATGATAACAAAGGCTAAGTATAATGCAAGTGACTTAAAAGAACAATTTAACAAAGAAATAGATATATTAAAAGTAAATATCACTTTAGTCAATCATTTAATTAAAAAATCTAATACTTTCTTTATTTTTAAAATATATACGAATACATTAATAGGAACAATTTAAAAAAAAAGAAGAATTTTTAATGAACGTATTAAAAATTAATACAAGCAAAACAATTACATTTGCAGCTCTTCAAGAAAATATTCGACAACTGCAACAAGATATTGATTTACAACATAATAAAAGTGTAATTTTCATATCTTAATATTTTCGACATTATTTTATTTAGTTTTAAATTCAGAAATTTGCATACTTATACTTTTTACCTGACGTTTACCCTTAGTAAATTTTTTCAAATCTATAATGGGCATAATTAGTTTAAATAAAATTTAACATGAGATTTTCAAAGTTTTTTGAAGTATTAAAAAGAAAATTAATCGTAATGATTTTGTTTATATTTTTTTAGAAATCAATTCAAGGCATAACATCTAACACCAACGTTTACGTAGCTGATATAGTTAAACTAAAAGATATACTTAACGAATTAATAACGCAAAAAATGGACATTTCCAAAGAAATAGATGCATTAAAATACAAAGGCAAAATGTTTCCCCCGATTGTTAAATCATCAACTGATAAAATGAAATCAGAGATTCCTAAAGTCATTGATTCACAATTCATTACCACAGAGGTTGAAGAAGAAGAAAGTGATGAATTTTGTTTTGATGATTATGAAAATGAATATAATATAGAATTTGATTTACAATTCAAGAAATCTACATCATCCAAAAGACTAAGCATCAATTGTAATGAATCGTCAAAATTAGAAAAACAATATTCCCATACTAGTTTTGAGAGTACAGAGGAAAAATTCGCTGAAAAAGATTGGATTAGTTATGAAGATGATATAATACATGACGAGGGTTTGTCAAAATCAGTAATTGAAGAATTAGACCAAATGGAAAAAAAGTTATCTAGTGACGAAGAAAGTGATTTGATTTTAGAAGTTGATCAAAATGAAAGTGCTCACAAACTTTCAACTAGTTTCAATAATTTAAGTACTACGTTAAACGATAAAAATAATGAATACGATAACGAATCTTATTTCGAATAAAATATATCATATTATCATAGATATTATCAATACTTTTCAAAATAATAACAGTTCTTTTAATGGTATCTAATTTTTAAATTTCTGTGTATAGTAGATAAATTTCCACTCATTTTAACATTATTGATGAAAAGAAAAACCTAAAAAGGTCTAATTAAACAGAAAAACAATCTACAATTTACAATATTTAGGTAACTCTTATACGGAATTATATCAATTATTTGAATTCTTTATAGGATTCCAAATCTAGATTCATATTTTCCCCGTCGTTAGTTTCTGAAATAACTTGTAAAATTAATTAATTTAAAAAAATATAGTCAGAATACTTGATTACTCATAAAATAAATACAATATTGGAAATTATTGATTTCATTTTGTTACGTATAATTCTTGATTTAACAGCTAATAATTACTTTTCATCCCTTATAACTCGAAGGAGTGTCAACTTTATTTTTTTAAATGGTCACATACATATTTAATTTATTTATAAAATATAAAATTATCTAATTAAGAATATGACTGGTTGATAACATCATTTGGACCAGTATTTCAGAAGTTATTAGTAATTAATTATAGTGAGGAGTAGGTGCTGAAATTTTTAACATTAGTAAATTCACAAATTTTTCCTGCGGATAGGGACTAAGAATACTTCCACGGCCCCTCTGCCAGTCGTAAAAGGCGACTAATGAGTTTGCGTCAAGTCGACAGCCGGCGTAAAAATTATTGGTCAAAAGAGTATGAGGAATCCTGAACAAAACTTAGGTGCATTGTCTCATCTCAGATGTACCCGGGAACAACAGAATGCAGTTAAAAACGGAGGAGCCTAAGGAATAAAGTGTTTGATACCAACAACTTGTGCGGTAGCTGTTTCGCCAATCATGTGTACAGGTCTACTCAACGCTTGTAGTGTCAACAGTGTAAAAAAAAGATAGATACAAAGTAAGAATAGGTAGTTGGAATGTTTGAATATTAACTGGTAGAAGTGTAAAATAGTAGAAGTATTTGTAATATTCTCCTTTGGAATATTAATAAAATCAATACCTCTTGTATTTCTAAGACCACAGAAAAGAATATGCTAACACGATTATACTTATGGTATTGACTTTTGGCAACTACAAAGTAGTCATGAGTCATTGTCTGTCTTAGCGTCTTCTAGGCACCACAAAAAGCATTAAATAAGGGAAGGTGATAAAAAGTAACTGTCTTGTTTTGATTGTAAAGCATGACTCAATCAGACGTTTCATCCCTGTTTATGTTTTTCGTGGTATGTTATATAAGGGCTGGAGACTGCTTTAGTCAGTCAGTCAATCTTTCATCTTTCTTATTCACTTCTCTCGCTATAATGTCAAGTTAATCAATTCAAAATATAATTCCAAATATACTTGTGCGTATTCTTTTCTGCTGTTTGTTTTTAGACTTAACTTTTTACACTAAATTTAAAATATACATTTGTCAAAATAATTAACACTTTCTATAATAATAAATACGCTTTTGCTAACCAAGTTGGATTCTCATTTATTAACACACTTACTATAGTTTTAAATATATTTTTAACAACCACAAATCTACACTCAAGATTTAACCATCATCAGTGAATATTAGGTAAGAGTAGTTTTAATACACTAACTACAATTAATAGTAATAACTAGAAACAAAGTACTTATATTTATGATGTCTTTACGGATGATTCCATTATCATTCTTCTTCATTAATACAATCCCCAACAACTTTATTTTTAGTTATTACATATTAAAGAGGAGAAAAGTTAACTTTTGTTGTGTGCAAGAAACTAAGTGGAAAGGAAAAAAATCCAGGGAAATAGGTGAGGGTTATAAAATAATATAATCAGGAAAGTATAGTACAAAGAATGGTGTAGGGATAATAATGGATGAGGAAATGAAAAGTAAAGTAGTAGAAGTAGCTAGGAAAAGTGTCAGGATTATAGTCGCGAAATTAATATTCGAGGAAAAAGTGCTGAATATAATAAGTGACTATGCACCACAAGTGAGATGGATGAGGTGATGAATAGGGTACCTGGCATTGAGGATGCAGTGATAGGTGGAGATATGAAGAGACATGAAGGTAATTAGAGGAGAGGATATGAAAGAGTACACGGAGGGTATGGTTTTAGTAGGAAGAATGAGGTTGGAGAAAGAATCCTGGATTTCGCAGTATCGTATGATCTTGCTGTGGTTAATACTTATTTTAGAAAAAGGTAAGAACATTATATAACTTATAAGAGTGGGAGAAATAGATCACAGATCGATTATTATATGTGGAAGAGAGAGAGCGTAAAGCGAATAAATGATTGTAAAGTTATACCAGGTGAGAGTGTAACTACACAGCATAGACTGATGGTAATAGAGTTGTGGTGTACCGGAAAGAGAACAAACAAAAATAGAAGAAACACGGAGAAACAATCGGAGATCCGGTGGTGGAAATTAAAAGGGGAAAATGAAAAATCTGTGTATGGTATTTATAGATTTGAAGAAAGCGTATGATAGAGTACCGAGAGAGGTTCTAAAGTGGGCATTAATAAGAAAAGGAGTCCCGAAATGGTACATTAATATAATAGAGGATATGTATGATGACACTTGTACTAAGGTAAAAAATGTGGGAGAAGTAACAGAAGGTTTTCGAGTAAGAAAATTGAGTGCACCAATGTTCTGCTTTAAGCCCTTACTTATTATCTATAGTGATGCATGAGATCGTATCAAGTGGAAGTTTAGGATAAGGGTGGCCGACCCCAAGTAATTGGGATTAAGGCGAGGAAGAAGAAGAAGGAGTCAATCCACAAATTATGTTAATTAAAGAGATCTAACTTGCTATCAAAAACCTTGTAAAACATTGCATATGTCAGGCGTATGTGAGGGTACTTTTAAGTTATTACACTCTTATAATGAAAACATTTTCTGTTTTTAAATTATAAATAGACATATCTTAAAAAGTTTATCAGCTATAGAAATTCTATTTTCATCAGTTTATTCATCATGATTTAAACTTAATACTACTTAAATATTAATGTAATATATATTAGTGTAAATATAATGAAAGAATGTTGATATATAAACCATCTTTTTTTTATGCAAGTGTGTCAAACTATGATATTTGTCTATTAAAATCTGTATAATTAGGGAAAAACGGAACCAGTTGGTAATTGAAAAAAGATGAACAGTATAATTTTAATATTATATTATTTAAAATATTATAATAATATATCGATAATTATAAAAAAAATAGCATAACAAAGTTATTGTTATGATGCACTTAAATTGCATTAAATTTATAGTTTTGATAGTTTTCTATAATTATTTTATCATTTCTTGTTGTCTCTATAAGTTCGATTCGCTCTATTTACTATAAATTTTAAATGCATTGTCAAAAAACTTAGTAACTTTAATGATTTTTTTTTCTTTTTTTTTTTTTTAATTTCACATCCAACTAATAAAATTAGGGCTGCGATTTTTTCAGTCAATTTTTTTTTTTTTACATCAACATTTTGACTTATAACATAACCCAAAAATTTATCTTTTGTATACCAAAAATACATTTTTCTTTGTTAATAGTCATACAATAATTATTCAAATATTTTTAAAAACATTCTTAATAATATTAAGTATATTTTAGGGCGTATTTATATACTGTTACGTCGCTATTTAGGGGTTGAGCCTAAATGCCCGTCGACAGTATTCTAAGGGACCAACGGAGGATAGCTGGCTAGGCTATATCTACCTTAGGTACTGAAGTTTCCTATTTAATTTATATTCCCTTAGAGGAACTACCAAGGGTCGCACTACAATATATATATATAACACTTTAGGTTAACAACGATATAAATAAATATTTATTAAGCAATTGAAATATTAAATAGATAATACAACCTGCTGGACACCTAGAGACATTATAATCCAACAGGGAGCTGATGGCGACACACACACACATTATAATATACGGGTAGCGAAGTTAAGTTAATTATCAGGCAAAAGTAGTGATCGCGAAGATGGTAAAATGTCAACTGTCNTAGTGATCGCGAAGATGGTAAACTGTCAACTGTCATAGGGATATCTTATTATGGCACATTGGCCGTGATTTACAAAAAGTGTGTATGTGTGCAATCCGCCCTCCTGTTAGTATTGTTGTATGTCACTGTGTTAAATATATATATATATATGTCTATTAAACGGTACAATGATGTTATGGGAGACAAAGATATGGGCACATGCAAATGTGATCGTATTAATACATACAAGTACATTAATTGAAATGTAATCTAGCTATTATAATGTTATGAGGTTGTTTTGTTACATCTGATTATTTTAATTTTGTCTGGTTATCTGATAGTTGATAATAATAAATTATATAAATATAAAAATTTAATATATATTATAATATTTTTTTTTGTATCATTAAATTAAAAATAGGGTTACCAATAAAGAAAATTTAAGTTTATATTTTTTAATCGTGAAGGAATCATAAATAAATTATTCAATTATACTATATTGTAGATTTTTTAACCGAACAACTTTTTCCTTTATGAAAATAAAAAATATTCAATAGTTTCCAAAAAAATGAGTTTTTTTTAATAGATAACACCTATAAAATATAAATTTCAATTATCGAAATTTTAATGAGACCTTTTCAACTTTATTATATACATTAAAATAGAAATTTTGCAAAAAATCGAGATTTAAAAAAAAAAATTATTATTCGCTCAACATGTTTTTAGTATTTTGATTAAAATACTGCAAATTAATGGGCTATCTAAGTAAAATTATTTAAACTAATTTCGAGATCAGTCGTAAAATGTAATTTATTATTTTTAAAGTCATTGTTAAGCATAAATTTAATGATATATATATGACAACCTTACTAAACCAAACCTAATTTAGGAATTTTTTTTCACCGACACTTTACTTTGATTATAATGTTTGTTTAAATAATAAAATTTGCTGTTATAGAGATTAATTAATATTTTTTTAACTGTAATCTAGTTAAAATATTCATATTCTAAGAAACATTTAACACTATACTTTTTTAATGTTTTAACTCAAAAGGAAAAAAGCTTATAGATAAAAAAAAATAAGTTAAGAAGAAAATGTTATCGTAGATAATAAAATTTCCCGGCATTATTAACTCAGGTATTTTTTTAATACCTTTTATTATTTATAAGAATCGAAATACGATGAAAGTATTTACTTTTTTTAGAATTTTTAACATTATCGAGAAATGGTTTCATTTAGAGATATTTTACCACCTCAACCACATTATCTCTCTGGTTATTCCGGTTTTGTACCAGGTTATAAATTCCAACACGGTCGCAGTTTTGGTAGCCTTACACACGACTTATTTTTGAATCCTAGTGTAAAGCGATCATCTATGTCCGTTTTAACAGATCTAAAAACAGAACATAATTCACGACCAAATATATACGAACTAGCTACAATAGCTAATCGTTGCGATTACAGGGAATGTAAATATAATGTAGACCTTAAGCCCGGTTATGACGGACACGTTCCAAACAAAAAAGAATTTTTTGGAAAAGGGTAAGAATAAATAAATATCCTATTCATTGTTACAATTATTAATATAGAAAACAATTATGATTCATTTTTGTTACAATGAAAATGACTCTTATATAAATTAAAACTAAGTGCTAATAATAAATACTTTAATATTAATAAAAACTATAATAATAAAAAATCAGTACATCCGAAACATAGTAAAATATTAAGAACCCCACGGCTATTATAGATTGTTAATTAATTATGTCTCACGCAAAATCTTTAAAAATAAAAAACATATTATAATTTTTTTCTTTTTGGAAGTTAATGGTATCCTATATTCTATAGTATAAATAATTATATTATTATTATTATATTATATTATTAATAATAATATAATAATTTTATAATATAATATAAAAATAAAATTGGCCTACTCTCTCTCCCATCTAAAATAGTATCAATTTAAGTTTTTTCCAATGGAATCATAAATATTTGATTAGTCTAAAAATAAACAAAATGATCTAAGTAAATTACTCGTCGATAACAAATTTTAAACCAGTATTTTAAAAGATATTAGCACTTTATATGAGGGCAGGAGGAGTAAAGTGAGTCTGTTCGTTTTAATCTCTGTGCATATAAAAATTACAATAGTCCTCCCGCCATAGTATAAAAATGCTAATATCTTTTAAAATACTGGTTTATAAATTGTTATTGATCAGTTAGATTATTATGCTTATTCTTATAATAATTTAATATTTATGATTCCATTTAAAAAACTTAAATTGATACTATTTTAAATAGGAGAAAGGGAGTATACAACCAATTTTTATTTATGTTATGCAATAAAGGATACTTTTAACTTCTGAAAAAAAAATTATAATAATTTTGTTTTTAAAAAATGTTGGTGAGACATAGTGAGACATCAATCACCCTATAATATTGAATATGAATTTAGTTCAACATTTCAGCCCCGCTAGTTTGATTTTAATAATTCATTGTAAATAAATAACTCTAAATCTACTTCCATATAAAAAATAAATCTACCTGACTTAACCAAACGTATCAAAAGATAAAGTAATATTATTAACTGTATAAGAAACTTCTAAATTTTATCTAAGTATTTATAAATTTTATTTTCAGCTTTCTAGTTTATATTTCATAATTTTCATTCATTTTTTTTTTTTTGTCGGCATAATGTATTACCTTAGACTGATTTTTTAATAATGACAGGGTATTTCATTCCCACCAGAAGAATATCTAAATATTCAGAGTATTTTTTATTGAGAATAAATCAGTTTTAGACAGTGTTCGAGAACAAATTGAATACATTACTGCAGTTTATCTTATAACAGTCGTGCAATCATCAACAAATAACCAAAATTTTATTGCGGTTTAACCATATTATATCAATCATGAGTCTTTTTTTATATTTTTATTTTATTGAGCATAGCCATACTCCTTTAGAAATATTAAAATTCTTCTGTATAATTAAAAAATGAATAATTTTATAACTATAAAGTAAGTGAAAATTTAGCAAAAATTAAAGCAGTTATTTAATTATATAATTAGAAATACGTAACAACTTTGAGAATTATATGACTAAAGATTTAAATGAAGTAAGGAACAAGTTTAGTTATTCAATTGAATCGTTTCCACCTATAGAATCTGAATCAACTTATTGAATGACCTATACCTACGCCACATAATAATTAAATCAGTGAACTATTACATTCTTTTCCTGTATAGGAGTCAAATACTATGATAATAGATTAACTAAATAGAAACAAATGTCTTAAGTGTCAATAATAAGGTCTTATGTAAAAAAATTATTTGGATCAATTACACAGACTTAGAAAAAAAAATGGATTCAATTACGTAGACCGAGATTTCCAAAACACTACTGTATTTCAGATAACAAATTAATTACACTCAAAGGGTATATCAACCAAGAGTTAAAATAACTTCTGGTCTTGTAGTACTGTCAAGAACACATAGAAGAAGCAGAAATCTTTTACGGTGTAAAAAATGGAATCAAGAAAAGGAAGATTTAGAATTCCGTCTAGGATTACGTTAAAGTCGGGATAGACTTTGGTCAATATTGACCTTTAGTTAGGGAGACACGGGGTGGCTTTCTAATAATCTCTAACAACATTCTTAACTTCAACAGAAACTTTCTAAAAAAAATTAAAACCTTTAAGAAGAATGTAAAAATAGTTATTTTCATTATTTTTAGGTACTCAGTAGAATCAGCAATGGGATTATCAATGTTCGAGAAAACAAAACGGCATTGTTCATGTTTGGAATGTAAAGAAAGAAAAATTCAACCAATAGAAACAAAAGAATCGTTTGAAAATATTAACAATTACAGCTTTCCATTAACAAAGGTTAATTGACGCTATTTATAATATATACATATATATATATAATTATATATGCATATATATAATAAAAAAACGGTAGCACAGTGGTGTCGCGGCATAGTGGAGACATTGCATAGTAGGGTCCAGTATAGATTTAATCTGACAGTGATTCAAATCACTATCATAAGAAACGCTTCGATGCAAATCTGTAGATAGTGTTTAATTTTAAAAAATTGATGGATAATTGCAAAAGCAACATCAACTTCTATTAAAATAAAATACAAAACCCATAATTATCATACAAAAATAGTATATTTTTCAATATGGTA